ATTTTGGATACACAAAATTGGAGCTATGAAATTAGCAAGACAAATTTAAAATGCCATTTTGTTTGACTTAGGACAGAGTCCTCTTTGCTTGTCAATCATAGATGTGTTACATGACTTTCAGTTGTAGTGTTTTGAAAACTGGGTCAACAATCCATTTTGATTGGCCTAGCACAGAAATGGGTGGTTGTGACTTTAATGTTTTATTGAATGGCTCCTGAGGGAATAGGGATCTGAGAATAGAAATGTAAATGTCCGAGCACTCATTTGATGAAGTCAGAGGTCAGGCAGTAATCTGTGCCTCTTCTGTCCTGTTCGTTAGATTTAGTCTCGCTCAGTGACCTGAGAAATGGTGGATCAGCAATTGATGTTTGGTTGAGATAGTTGAACACATTAGCATTCACCCGTGTGTCATTTAAACCACTTATTGCCACAGTAAGACTAATTAATGACTCTCGCATCCCTCTCAAAGAGACTCGTATATCAAACTGTGAATATTGATGATTCACAGTTGCTTCATCAATCACGCAGCTGAAATGCCATAATTTTTGCACTAGGTTTGTGGTTTATTTAGAACTGTACATCAATACTCTCTTTTGAGTTTACGGAGTTGTCAGTGTGACAATTAGTGTGTCCCAAAATCATAATATGATTTTGAAAATAAAATAAGGAAAAGTTATCATGATTATAAAGCTTTTTTTGTGTGGCTTTTCTAAAATGTAGATAAATTGGGCTAATATTGTCCTTTTCAACTTTTGAGTAGTAAGTTAAGTTTGAGTAGTAAGGAATTTAAAGCTACGAAACCTAACTAATACATTTACATTTAGTCATTTAGCAGATGCTTTTATCCAATGCGACTTACAAATGAGGACAATAGAAGCAATCAAAATCAACAAGAGCAATGATATACAAGTGCTATAACAAGTCTGAGTTAGCCTAACACAGTACGCGTAGAAAGTTTTTTTTTTAAATTATATAATAAATAAAAAAAGACAGAATAGAAAAAAATTCAGTTTTAATTTTAATTCTAATTTTAGTTTAGTTTAGTTATTTTTTTCTGTAGTTTTTTTATATTTCTATTTAATGTATTTTTATTTCAGTTTTAGTCATTTTAGTACTTTATTTCAGCCAAGGCAGCATTTCTTAAGTTTTTCACCTGATATTTATATTTTATTTTATTTCAAGACTATTGCAACAAAAACTTTAAATAGTTTTAGTTGTAATTAATAACAATGCTGGTGGCGCCGATAGCCTCATGGTTAGTGCGCCAACATATACAAGTGCGACTGTGCTCGTGGCGACCCGAGTTCAATTCCTGTCTCGAGTTCCTATGCCGATCCCGCTCCCCTCTCTATACCCAATACTGTCCTGTCATCTCTCCACTGTCCTGTCTGAATAATAAAGGAATAAAAAGCCCAAAAATATAACTTAAAAAAAACAAACAATAACACTTAGTGTCAGTGTTTGTGGTGTCTTTTAGGCTTTACCTACTTTTTGTAATTGTTAAGGTCTAACAACTGTTTCTCTTTATTCTGCTTCATATTCTTTCTCTGTTATTTAGTTGATCATCTGTTTTACACAGCCGCCTGCTTTATAGGGGCTTCAAACAACGAGTAACACAGCCTCATAGACTATCAAAGAACTATTTACTCGGAAGAAGCTCAAACACAGAGCATATTGACCTGATTAATGTAGAATAAGATGTTTCTTTTGCACAATGTTGTTGTGTGATTTATATTTGATAAAAATTCAATCACATAATTAATGCCATAAACCATTTCTCTCTTCTTTTTTTCCATCATCTTTAAAGTGGTCAGTGGACTTGGCTGAGGCTATGGAACTTTCTCTAATGCTGTTTCTTTTGATGACAGAGCCAGAGTTTATATGAAGGCGTGTTCTCCCTGACATCCATGTCTTATTTTCTTTTTTGGGGAGTCTAAATATAGAATTGTGGGTTAACAAGAAGTCTGTATGAAGTCCATGTGTCGGGGAGATTCTTCAGAAGGCTGAGTGATGTCGGTTATTGCTGATTCACAAATCCGTCTGGCTTATGCTTTGAATCTGAGAGGTTGTTGAAATATTACTATGTTTCTAATATGAATCATATTCAAGTTGCGAGTTTCATAATGGTGTCTACATGTGTAATCTCTTTTGAACCTTGAGCTGCATTGAATGTTATTTGTTGCAGATGACTGACTGTTACTGTATTATCATTTGAATATAAATGGCAAAACAGGTAGCATGAATGAAGCATTAAAAAGGTATAAAGGACCCTTTTTATGCTAAAAGTAGAGTATCTTCTGTGTTTTGGTTTATTCAGCTTCTATGGTTTTGAAATCAGCAAGTCACAGTTCATTGTAATTTCTGTTTGAAAACAGAAAACAGTTTTATCTTTCATTTTTTTATGATTGGCTTGTAAATAATAGCAAATGCATTGACCTAGTTTCTCATTGATCAATGCCACCTTGCTAATCGTCCTAATATGATAGTATATTGATATCTGGGTCATGATATGATATATTATTTTGATAGTTTGAGAGAATAGCGCATCCATTGTGTTCCAATGTGTTTATCATAGCACTAAAACCCACAACTGTTAGAAATGTTATGCTACATGACACAATCAGGTGTGTATTGATGTAAAGCCACACTATATGTGAAACAATGTAGCTTAAAATAGGCCTGTCGCAGTAATCAATATATCGGCTTATCGCGCAATATATGTACATGACCGCAATAATTTTTGGTTACGCAATATATTGCCCATTATATTTGCTTAAAAATTAATCTCACCATGTTTTGTACATTCCACTTGCGCCTGTGTCTTTTGCAGCTTCTCGTACATGAAGTGGTGTAGTCATGAGTTGCTAGTTCAAATTTTAAAAATGCTTCTACAAAAAAAGTTTCATCTGCAGATATGGTCTTGTTTAGGGATCTGTGCCTTTGTGCATACGGACATCTGGCTGCCAAGTAGGGATTGTGTTTTTCAGCAATAGTGTGCACCCTTCATTTACAGAGAAAAGAAGGTCAGGGAAAAATCTGTAGATGGAAAAATCGCCATACAAGTTCTTTGTGCATTTTTCTTTTTTTCTACTTGTTATGTTGCACTTTTTGTTAGAAAATGTTTATTTACTATTTATTCAGGTTTTTAAAGGTATCTAATATTTTGATACTTAATTTCCATGAAGTTTGTTGTCATTTGGAAGTGTGTAGGCATTCTTACATTATTATGCTGTTACATTATGATTATATATTCAGTGGCATAAAATGGTCTTTAAAATGACAATAATATCGCTTATCGCAATTATTTCTGGGGCAATCTATCGCACAACAAAAAGTTGTTATCGTGACAGGCCTAGCTTAAAATATTATTTTTTTGACATAACATTTGTGATCATGCATTGAAATATTTTCCTTACAATACTGTGAAAGAATAAGTAGGTCTTAAATCCATAATGTGCACAATGACAAAATAAATGAGGAGGAATTATTTACCTAACCTCCTTGGTGAAAACTAGTCTCATCTGAATAGGGCATGAGACTGTTTTGCTCACTCATGCTTCATTAAGAAGCTTCTAACCTTTGCCTTCCATCCTTCGTCTCAGAATGGGTCATTTCATTACGGTGCAGCTGCTTCTGAATACCAAGCCAAACATTGCCAGCTTTTATGCCCAACCTCTGCACCCACCGTAAAAAGCAATGCAAATGGAAAGTTTATAAAACGTGTTGTGGAATATAAACCAGACAGGCCGATACTGCTTTCAGGAATCCTTCTTGAAAGTAGCACGCTTAATTATTTAAATACTCTCCTGTTTCGTGGCCTTGGCACATTCCAAACCTCCCGCACATGTGTGAGATTGTGACTTGGGTAATCACGACAATGCGACTTATGCAAGAGAAAAAGCCTTGAAGCATCTGGGTGCAATGGCATGATGAAAGTCCTCAGAACTCAAACTGTTTGATGTAACTGTGTGAAATAACGTCCAGTGAATTATCTCACTCTGTATTTGTGTTTCACTCTATTTACTGGTGTGGCTTGATTGACGCAATTTGTTGACATGAATCGGTCAAGAATCAATTCAAAATCAATATTTTTCCCAGTTACTTTACCTTATTGGTTCAAAGGGTGAATAGAGATGTGTTTAAGGCTTGCGCAAAGAATTTGTGGTAGTTTATTACAGCAGTGTCTAACTATAGATATATACAACTGAATTATAATAAACCTTCTATATGTATTAGGGTTGTGCTAATAGACGATAGTATTATGTATCGATAGTCAGAGATCGCCTGTTGGTGATACCTTTGTCGATAACAAGCCGATTATTATTATTATTATTATTACTACTGTTAATATTTATTGTCCGTCAAAAATAGCGATGCAGCACAGAGAGCCGCTTCTGGGACTCTTCAGAAACATGCCGCGGCGCAACTGGAATAAACAAGCATTGACTAGAGGGACCACAATCAGATCCAGTGGCCATGTCAGAGCCGTAACGCACCGCAGATGTGTGCAGTGTATTCATCTTTCAGCTTCACTTATTATAACGTCAGTATTTTTTAAAGTGCATAATACTTGTGCTAAACTGAAGTTAGTTATGATGTTCTTTGGTAATGTAAATGTTCTTTGCCCGTTTTCTGTAGCTGCTTTTTGAATAACTGAGGAAATGTAAGCATTATAATTTGTAACTTAAAATGTTTCTATTAAATTGTTATGTTAAATACAAATTCAGCCATATTAAAAACATTCGGCTGTTTTTAGCCTTACGCTGGAGTTGGTTCACTTTCCAGCAATGAAACTAAGTAAATAATTAAATAAGTTAGCACAATAATATTGTGTATCTGCGAACTGTACACTAATATGTATAGTTACAAAATTGCAACGATTAGGTAGATATGTGCATTGCTTTGTGCATTTAGCTGTTTTCCACATAGTTTTGTTGCTACTTTTTAAGTTTGCATTAGATAATTTCATTTATTTGATTTTGTTTTTGTGTCTCCCTTAGTCTGGCCTTTGGAGGCTCCAAACCTGCCAAATGAGTCTTCAGTGGAAGTGCTACACAATGCATTCTCCACCTTGTCTGGATTTTATCTTTCACCTAGTTCAGATCCATCCAAAGCCACAGAGAATTACAATCACAATGTTAACACTGGATTGGTATTCGCTTACTCCCTGAACTCTGCCACAAGCCCAGAGCCTCTTGCCACACCTCCTTTACTTTCCTTAAAGTCTAGAAAGGGAGTTGGATATACCCCCAGAGGTTCCTCCAGACAGCCTCGACAACTAAATTCTCCAGTGCCTACCTCCCATAATGTGCCCTTATCTTGGTCTGCTATCAGCCCAGCTCCTCAAATATCACAGACTACAGGTTCATATGTGCCGTCTAGCTTGCCTTCAGTTGGAGAAGATTCTCCTGACGAGCCTCCTGTTCCATCCCCTCAAACACAGGATGGGACTGTGGGAGTCAGTGACTCTGAGGTTCCTTTTGGAGACAGATTGGAACCATCTAGCAGAATCCAAGACCTCCAGTTACAAACCAGTCATGACCCCAACACCCAGCTAGGCTATCAGCAATTGAAACCAAGTCATATGGTTTTTGTACACCATCAAATGACTTCAGTGTCTGTTGAGCCAACTATGGGCCCACCCGAAGACCTTTTCCCAACCAACACTATGGATGTGGAGTATGGCTCTGGAGATTACCTAGAAACAATGTCCTTCATGGGATCTGAAGGCAATGACTATTCACTGGTTAGCAATCTAGTCACTGATGTGTATGACTTTGAGGACTCGAATTCAGAGACCTATGACACCACGTTCCCCTCAAGAATGGTGATGTCATTTTCCAGCAAACACTTGTATCCCTCCTCTATCAGTGTTACTAATTCTTTCTCCAGCAAACCTGTTGAAAGTCCCAGTTTCAATAGCAATTCAACCTTGAATGGAGCCACCACTGACTTAACCAAACACGTAACAACCTTTCAGAGTTTTACAACCTTTGTGCCTTTTACCATGTCAAGACCTTCAGATTTCACCAGTATTTTGACATCAGACATTGGACACACCGTTTCAACCATCCAGCCAACCAGAGTCCATTCCTTACCTATTCTCCCGACAACTTCAGATGTCTTAAACCAGAACCAGTCTGTCAATGAGACCTCAGAGTTGGCATCTGACTGGCCAAGCACTGTTACAGTCCAACCCACCGATGTTCTTTTACCAGACATGAACAGTTTAGAGTACTACACCATCCAGTTGACCAAGGACAATGGTAGCTTGCCAGAGCCCACTGCCAATCAGACGGCCTCTAGTGTTTTCTCTTTCATTCCAATTGGCACCACACATATTGTGAGCACTAGAACCTACACCATTGACCCAAGTTACATGCTAACAGCTTTGTTTGATGAAGATCTACAGCCTACAGGTAACAGTTCCTGGACTGAGGAATCCTCAACGGATATCTCTGGATTTGAACCTTTTAACACCACTATCTTGGATCCCTCTGAAGTTGGACCGAGTTTAACAGATACTACACTGCCATATTTGGAGCCGTCGTTTATACCAACAATAGACCCTTCAGCTTCATTGGAAGATATAAACTCAACCACTGATTGGGCTACAACACCTTTTATACCGTACAACACTTCCTTACTGGTGACTACCCCACCTCCAGTGACCAAGGAACCAGATGGTGTGTCTTCTGTTAATAACAGCCAATGGATTATCACCTCACTTCCAACAGAGACCCTCTTTCCTAGTAGTGTACTTCCCACTGTTTTAGTAACCACCTCTATCAGTGTTTCTGAATACCCAACTGACTCAACCTTCAACATCACCTCCACCCCTCCTGCAACAGAGATGGCTGATGAAGGATTCGTGTCTGGAACAACATCTGACACCATGGTTACTGATAACGATAACACCACACCGATCGGTAGCCTTACAACCACGTCCTCCCCAGGATTACATAATGACACCACTGTCAAGCCTTTCACTATCATAAGCTCCAACAACACAACAGTGACTTCCGTGAACGATACATCAGTTACAACCCTATCTACAACCCCTCCAACAACCACTTTCCGGAAGTATCTCTGCAACATCACTAAACCTGACACCTACTTGATCAGAGTTGGTAAGGCTTAACAAACATGAACTTGCTGCACATTTTTACACCAGAAAGGTGCTCATGTCCATTTTTGAGGATAAATGTGCAACTCGCTTAAAGCACTTAAGCACCTTAAGCAATAACTGGATTAGCAATCATGCAAGCATTATAGTATTTTATTTTAATATTTAAGGTTCTAAAAATAACACAGTTGCTCTGTTGTAGGGTTTCCTCCAGGGTCCACTGCTGGATATGCCAAAGCCAAAGTCAGAGAGATTCTCAAAGGAGAATATAACCGCTCTGTGGAGCTACAGGTACTGTGGACATAATGAATAGATTTGTTTTTCTCTTTTTTGTTCATGTCTTTATTAATTTAAATCAGTGACAACAATTGTACTTAATCTAAAAGTATTTTAAACAGTATTACAATACAGCTACAATTGTAAATACCTTTATTATAGATTGTTTTTTAATTGCTAGATTATTGAATATTTGTACTTTTAAAAATGTATTTGTTATTCCACATCAAAGTTTAATTGCAAAAACAAAAAGCTACACGTTTTTAACGATGCAAAAGCATCTAAAAATATACATTTTAACATTATTTTTTAAAATTTTTATTAAAAGAACATTATGTAGGTTTCCATGCATATATTTGAATGCATATTTTGGGATATATCTATCAGTGTTACTAATTCTTTCTCCAGCAAACCTGTTGAAAGTCCCAGTTTCAATAGCAATTCAACCTTGAATGGAGCCACCACTGACTTAACCAAACACGTAACAACCTTTCAGAGTTTTACAACCTTTGTGCCTTTTACCATGTCAAGACCTTCAGATTTCACCAGTATTTTGACATCAGACATTGGACACACCGTTTCAACCATCCAGCCAACCAGAGTCCATTCCTTACCTATTCTCCCGACAACTTCAGATGTCTTAAACCAGAACCAGTCTGTCAATGAGACCTCAGAGTTGGCATCTGACTGGCCAAGCACTGTTACAGTCCAACCCACCGATGTTCTTTTACCAGACATGAACAGTTTAGAGTACTACACCATCCAGTTGACCAAGGACAATGGTAGCTTGCCAGAGCCCACTGCCAATCAGACGGCCTCTAGTGTTTTCTCTTTCATTCCAATTGGCACCACACATATTGTGAGCACTAGAACCTACACCATTGACCCAAGTTACATGCTAACAGCTTTGTTTGATGAAGATCTACAGCCTACAGGTAACAGTTCCTGGACTGAGGAATCCTCAACGGATATCTCTGGATTTGAACCTTTTAACACCACTATCTTGGATCCCTCTGAAGTTGGACCGAGTTTAACAGATACTACACTGCCATATTTGGAGCCGTCGTTTATACCAACAATAGACCCTTCAGCTTCATTGGAAGATATAAACTCAACCACTGATTGGGCTACAACACCTTTTATACCGTACAACACTTCCTTACTGGTGACTACCCCACCTCCAGTGACCAAGGAACCAGATGGTGTGTCTTCTGTTAATAACAGCCAATGGATTATCACCTCACTTCCAACAGAGACCCTCTTTCCTAGTAGTGTACTTCCCACTGTTTTAGTAACCAGCTTTATCAGTGTTTCTGAAAACCCAACTGACTCAACCTTGAACATCACCTCCACCCCTCCTGCAACGGTGATGGCTGATGAAGGATTTGTGTCTGGAACAACACCTGACACCATGGTTACTGATAGCGATAACACCACACTGATCGGTAACCTTACAACCACGTCCTCCCCAGTATTACATAATGATACTACTGTGGCACCTTTCTCTATCTCAAGCTCCAACAACACAACAGTGACTACCCTGAATGACACATCAGTTACAACCCAATCCACAATCCTCCCAACAACCACTGCCCGGAAATATCTCTGCAGCATCACTAAACCTGACACCTACTTGATCAGAGTTGGTAAGGCTTAACAAACATGAACTTGCTGCACATTTTTACACCAGAAAGGTGCTCATGTCCATTTTTGAGGATAAATGTGCAACTCGCTTAAAGCACTTAAGCACCTTAAGCAATAACTGGATTAGCAATCATGCAAGCATTATAGTATTTTATTTTAATATTTAAGGTTCTAAAAATAACACAGTTGCTCTGTTGTAGGGTTTCCTCCAGGGTCCACTGCTGGATATGCCAAGGCCAAAGTCAGAGAGATTCTCAAAGGAGAATATAACCGCTCTGTGGAGCTACAGGTACTGTGGACATAATGAATAGATTTGTTTTTCTCTTTTTTGTTCATGTCTTTATTAATTTAAATCAGTGACAACAATTGTACTTAATCTAAAAGTATTTTAAACAGTATTACAATACAGCTACAATTGTAAATACCTTTATTATAGATTGTTTTTTAATTGCTAGATTATTGAATATTTGTACTTTTAAAAATGTATTTGTTATTCCACATCAAAGTTTAATTGCAAAAACAAAAAGCTACACGTTTTTAACGATGCAAAAGCATCTAAAAATATACATTTTAACATTATTTTTTAAAATTTTTATTAAAAGAACATTATGTAGGTTTCCATGCATATATTTGAATGCATATTTTGGGATATAAAAATGCACCTTGATGCAAAGAAAAATTTTAAAATGTTAACAGGAAATGGATGGAATATTTCACACACACACAAAAGTAGTTTTTGCGATATTACTATTTATTGCATAAACTGAATGTACAACTTTGTTGGAAACATAAGTATGGTATTTAGGTATTAGGTATGTATTATGGGTACTTTTATTTTTCAATATCTCAAGAATTACCTATTGAAATTAACAGTAGCTTTTATTCAGCCTGAGAAAGCTGTAGAGAAATTAGAAATTAATTTGTTTAAGAATTTCTTTCTTTTAAGAATTTAGCATGATATTGATAGTTCAACCTGCTTACTCTTGGTTTGAACCACAGAAACTTTAAATATGTTTTGTAATCCAGTGTTGTGTCAGTAGAACATACTGTATAGATAAAATCATCCCTTCCTGTTTTATCTCTTGGGTCCTTATGAACAAACAACACGTAATTTGGCTCAATGGGAACCAACTGGTTCTTTGTAACTCTCTGCATTTAAACACAATACTGAATCTGCCTTGACTTTTAAAGGCACACTGAAAGGCTTTTTGATATTTCTCCATGTGCTCTAAAATGATTTGAAATTGCTATTACAAATATGATGTACATATCCTTGACATCAAATGCTCCTTTGTGTGTTGTAGGTAGTGAAAGCTCCTCCAGACTTTGTGTTTCGTGCTGTGTCTGGTGCAGTGGTTTATACTGCCATATCAGTCATTAATGCCCTGAGAATCTCTGCTCGGACCACCAGCTCCTTTATCAGCGTGTCACCCATCAGTCCTATACCAGGTCTGCAGTACCATGTTCATACAGGTAAATGCAGAGGAAACTTCACGTCACAGTTCTTGAATATTCTCTCTGGTATTTAAATGTTGTTGCTATATGACCATATGCATGTCTTTTGTCTGTCTGCAGTTCTTCAGTTTGTACCCAGCCATGTAGATGTGCGAATGTGTACCTTCAGTGAGCAGGCAGAGAAGGGTCTGATCACAGCTTTATCTGAAGTCCGCAGACGCTCACAAGAGTCCACAAACTTCACTGTGAATGTACGTTGACTGCTTTACCCAGCTTATGGTATTAAGAGCTCAGCTGAGTTTCAAACACCAGTAACCAGTCACTGAACTCCTTCAAATCCTCTTGCTTATTTTGTTTAGTTTAGCTTAAACATACACAACTACTACATAATGTAAACCATCCAAATGAGAATTACATAGTAATGTTTTTATCCTCGAACAAGCAAGTTTTTGATTTGCGCAAGAAAGGAGCATGCTTTTAACTTCGGTTATGTGATATGAATTCAAGGCTTGATTGCCTTCAGTGCAGTGGGATGACATCATCTCCAGCTGTTTGCTCTGATTGGATGAGGAAAGCACAGGACTGATCAATTCAACCATTGTCAATGCAACAAAACTAATGGCTCTTATTCATTTCATTCACTTGCGTTCACAATGTGTATGCGCTTCTTTAATAGATCAGTGAGTGTGAATGAAGAGACTTGTGCTGAGAATCCATGAGCTTTCATGGATAAAGTGTGTATGATTTTATATGTTTTAATTAAGATTTTAATCAATTTATTTATCATTTATAATTGTATTTTAGCAACTAAATTATTTCATTATTTTTATTAATTTTAATTGGGTTATAAATAATTTTTAAAATATATTTTAGTAGTTCAAGTTTTACATTAGATGCTTGATTGATACAGAAATATATCTTGTAGAAATATATTTTATGTTACGGTCATTTCTAAAATCCCTTTCTGGAGAATGAGCGTCTAATCTTGATGTCTCATTGCTTTAGTTTCACGTAATTGTATCTTAGAGACTGAATTGTTTTGCAGATTTTAAACATCACCACGAGTTCTGTGGAAATGGCGGCACAACAGCAGAAGGTTCCAGTGGAGATCACCTTTGCTGTGCGTGATATCCGTGGGTATGTGCCAGGGACAGAGGTGAGCTCCCAGCTTCGACAGCTCAGCGTGGTCGAGTACAGCTACTACCTGGGCTACCCTGTACGGCAGATCGCAGAACGTGAGTCCACACACTGATTTCTGTATAATTACGTAAATACACGTGCAAAACAGCTGCTATGTACAACAGTTTAAGGTGGTCACACTGGGTTTTATAACTGTGTAGGTGGTTAGACTGTGGGCACCCACCAGGTTAGCCAAAATGGTCCATCTACTGGTATTCTAGCTTTTAAACCAGCTTCAGCTACCTGGAAATCAGCTTCAGTGAGGTTTGCTGTGTTATAATGAAAATGGAGTAATATTCGTTCATATTTGATGTTTTTTCTTCTCTGCACTATTAGCTTTCCACTACCCAAAGCTGAACACAACCCAACTGCTTCGTTCCTCATGGGTTAGAACAGGTATTGACCTGCTGATGTTAAGCTTAACACACTGGTATTCCAAAGTACACTATTGTTCAAAAGTTAGGGGTCAGTATTATTTATTTATTTTATTTTATTGAAGAAATTAATATTTTTATTCAGCGAGGATGCATTAAACTGATCAAAAGTGACAGTAAAGACATTTATAATATTACTAAAAAGTTCTATTTCAAGTAAGTGCTGTTCTTTTGAACATTCTAATTATCAAAGTTTCCAAGTTCATCAATCCTAAAACACAAAATCTATCACAGTTTCTGTAAAAGTGTTAAGCAGCACAACTGTTAGAATGATTTCCGAAGGATGATGTGACACTGAAGACTGGTGTAATGATGCTGAAAATTCAGCTTTGCATCACAGAAAGTGGGCTCTGGCAGAATTTTAAAACACATTAAAATAGAAAACAGTTATTTAAATTTGTATTATAATTTCACAATATTACTGCTTTTACTGTATTTTTTTATCTTAAGAAAATGCAGCTTTGGTGAGCATAAGAGACTTCTTTCCAAAACAAACCAACCCCAACTGTTGAACAGTAGTGTAATGTTACTATACTATCAAATATTCCGATGAATATCAAATGAGTCATTGCAATGCAGTAATGTCATGTTTTACACATTGCATTCAGTGTTGTTGGGAGTGTTAGACCAGCGTGTGAGTGACAAGATCTTCAAGGCTACGATTGAGAGGAGACTGGCTCAGTTGCTGGGCGATGCATTGGGTATGGGTCATCGCCTTAGAAGAGCAACTAATGTGGGAAACAACAGCGTGCAGGTTTGTAAATCATCCGTGTTATGTGACCATATATTTTCTATTCTTGCTTTCCACGCATGAGCTCATTGGATTAATTTATAGAGCCCTTCCTGTGTGCATGTCTAATGCCTCTCTGGGCATTAGACATTAGATGTTAATCAGTCACTGTCTTTGTGGCGCTTCCCCACACCTGCTCTCCCTCCACACATCATCATCATTCAGGGACAAGGAGTATCCATGGCAACACCCTCCTATTCATCCCTGGCCTGCAGAGCCACTCAAAAACAACCATTTCACCCCTGTGGGCTGTCGGCGCGTCATACTCCAGCTGCAATCTCAGATAAATTATTGAACACCGCTTGCAAACAGCTAGAGTGATTCTTAAACCATTAATTGCTTGTTCTGCCTACGTAGAGAAGATTTTTCCGTTTCATAGTGACCCGATTGCTGACTGGCTGACCTGGTTTCTAAGTGACTTGTGTTATAAAAGTGCTAGTGGTCTGTTGATGCCTGCTAATTAACTGAGAATGAATCCAGCTGTGTTAATGATGCCCAGTGATGTCATTTCTAATTTTAGAGAGGTGATGAATTCTGGAATATCTTGCAAGGACTCTTAAAGTGAATGTAGGATGACGACTGTCTGCTAAGCTCGGATGTACTGTTGAGATGACATTGTGCAGCCGTCCTCTGTACTGTTTCTGATAATGCACCCTGAGGTAGCAGCACTTTAAAAATGAGCTTTTAACGTCCCTGGCCAGTGAGGGTTCACTACTCTGGGCTTTTAATGTAGGTCGAGCTCAGGTGAGGTCCACACATTGCCATGCTCTTTTTTCACCCCAATAACCCTGGAGGCTAGAAACATTTATTAGACTCGTCTTTTAGACCCTCAGTCTCTCTGAAAGCCTTTTTGGGTTTTTGTCAGAAAGACATTTCAGTTTTAAAATGCTAATTGTAGCCTATTCAGAGTTCTGATTCATGTGTTTGCGTGTTAGAAACAATTATGTGGAATTAAAAGTTTAAAGGAATAATTTGCCCAAAAAGATAAATTCAAGTCTGTTTGACTTTCTTCCTTCTGTGGAACATAAAATGAGAATTCTGAAAAATATCTACTCTTTTTAATTAAATGCAAGTGAAAGCGAACTTTTAGAGCTGCTAAGCTCTAAAAGCACCATAAAGGCATCATAAAGGTGGTTTATGCCAATGTTGTTTTGGTATTATTTATGTAGCGAATCAGCTCATGGGGAAATATGAATAATTAACCATAACTAGTTATAATTCACTATTCATATTTTAGATCCACTGTAGATATTTAGCTGACCACTCAGGGTCAACCGTCTTGTCAATTCTAAGAACGTTAATTTCCTGGTTAAAGGAAATAACTTTCTTACTGTACAATTCTATAAGTTTGTAACGTAAATCTGCATGATTATTGACTCCGGTTATGAGTAAACAATGAACACGTCAAGTGTGATACAAGTAAGGTTTTATTAACTACATAAACACTTAAACTAGTCTAACATACTACATAAACACATTAAGCCGGTCTAACATACACATACACACACACACACATACAGTTGGTATAGGAAAGGGTTAAAGTTTAGCACTAAAGAAAGAGACATAAGGAATGACATTTATGGAACCATTTTGCATATTCAGCAGATCTAAAACCTGAGGGAAAACGTCAGATTCTTAGTTCAAACAAACCTTGTAAAAAGGTGTAACTGATACTTAATGCATCAATTAAATCGACTAAGTTTGATACTTGCGTATGTCTGAAAAAGATTCCTGATGCAATCTTAAGGCCCCAAGATCTTGCTGAAGTTGGTTGATGAGAAAGAGCTAGTTTGAGTCAGAATCACTTGATGAATGAAAAGGACTAGGCCGGAGCCTGGCACGAGCTTTGGTATCCTGGAGCGTTTCTCACATCTTCATCTTAGCATCTCACTGAACCACCGAACAGGGGCGGGGCACATGGAGTGTGGCCTTTTAAAGCCTGCAGAGATTCACGCCTCTCAAGATGGGTTCGTCCAATGAGGAAGGCTGAAATCCCAAGCGGGAGGTTGGAAATACTGAGGATTTTTATGACTCTTTGTCTGTAAGCATGGGATTTTGCATATGTAATTCGCTGGAGTGTTGAGGCACAAATTAGTACCGATTCTTAGAACATCAATATGTTGCAGAGGTATCAGCATGTAATATGCACTCTCAGTTAGATCATCCGAAGACGAATTCATAGATACTAGACATGGTAGAGTTACTTATATGAATGAGTGGTTTATCGTAAGCATGAATAAAAATAGTCTATAATACAACAGATTAAATACAACACAGCAATAATATACACAATGGCCTGAAGAAAATGGGGGTTCATTCAAAGAAGGTTTTCCTATGAATTAATCAGTAGAAAAGTCAGTTTCTCCTGTGCATTTGTGCCTTTCTTATGAGGAAAATGAGGGAGTTTATCCCCTGCATTCCTTTTAGGCCATAAAACCAGTGATATCAGCATTGGTTACCATGGAACCAGAGGCCTGTTCTGCCTTTCTGAGGTGTTAGGTGCATTTCGGGGGAAGGGTCCATAGACCCTCGTAATTGGCCATTTGGTTAGGTGATGGGGAGTTCGATATTATTTGTTAAATATAACAAAAAGTTGTGTGTCTGATTGGTCCAAATGCTACATTTATATACTGTTATAGTATTTGTTAATATTTTGAATTAGCTTATATTTTTATATTTTCAGTTTTCATTAGTTTTAGTAATGTGATGTGCTTTTTTCATTTCTATTTAGCTTGATTTTGTTTTATGTCAAGGAAGTCAAAAGATACTACACAAAATTCTGAGAGAGAAAAAAATGAGTTACATTCAAATCAGCTGACTTCTGTGCATTTCAGGATACATTTTTGTAATGCTTACAGAACAGAACCACAATAAAGAGAGGGGGGGGAAAACCCAGCTGGGCAAGGTACAGTGTAATGGTGATCTTGCATAGTTACATTAAATTTACAATACTGAGATATGATTGTATCTATTTAGAGTCCAAAAATTATTTTCTCACACTCCATAAAATAGCCCCCTTTTGCTTTTTTAATTTTACAGATAAAGTAAGTGTTTCCATCTTACATATTTCAATTACAATTGCTTTAATTTGTTTCATGCAAATCCAGAATTCCCAAATATAACACATGAAACTGAAATGGGATATTAATCTTGAATATGGCCTCCAATGTCCGGTGTATGTCTTTCCAAAACAGGTGTATAACTGGACATGCCCAGAATATATGGTGATGATTTGCTACTTCTGAATTACAGTGTCTCCAACACCCAGATCCTATTTCACTATGGCACTTTTGCGAAAAATCGAATTACATTTATCCATGCAAATAACCTCCACTGGTGTGATCCTGTGGTTTCCCATTGGGATTTTTATTCTTTCTCCCATTTAATTCGGACTTGTGAGGTAGAATCTGATCTGTAATTTTGAAAACAGTGATAAAATGTGGAGATTACCTTACTAGTAGTATTAGCCCTATATGCCAACAGGAATATCTTCACTAAATCATTCTGTGCCCAATCCCCGCTCTTGTTCACTTTTGAATTAAATTAGTGTCTTATTTGAAAGCATCTAAACAAGTCATGATTATCCAACTTAAACTGATTCTTAAATTCTTGGAAAGTTAAGAAAGTAGTATTTGTTACTAAATAATATGATGTAATGCCTTTCTTACTCCAATTCTTAAAAGATTCATCTAGAGTATTTGGAGTGAAATCTGTATCATATGCACACCATTTCATTATCTTTAGAGCGTCTTTCAAATCATATTTTTTAATCACTGCCCATATTTCTAGGATAGTAGTTATCCATGGATATTCTTTACTTATATATTTTCTTAATAAATGATCATCTGCAATTACTGCTTGACTCAGTATTTCAGAAAAAAAGAGAAATCAATCTGTTTTATAGTCTGGATTGCACCAGCAAACTATGGGCCTTAACTGGGCAACTATAAAATAGTCTTTAAGAGATGGGAGATCCAAACCTCCCCTTTCTTTTGGTAACTGGAATGTTCTATATCAAATTCTGGATTTTTTTTTACCTTGCCAGATAAACCTTATAATCCATTTGTCCCAATCTTTAAATTGTTCTTCTGGAACCTTTAGGGGATGTGTCTGAAATAAGTATAAAATGTTACTCACTGAAAACCGTACTGTGTTCATAAGACAATTCAGTTAATCAGTTGATTCATTCGCAAAATGTGTCTGAATGATACTTTCATAAATTGGACTGATCCTAATCCAACATCTAATATTGTAAAATGAAAATAGTGTATCTCTGTAAACACCTACACAGACTCTGAGAATGCTTTGCAATATATAGATTTTTTTAAACCTAGGTCAAAATTTTAGATTGAGAATATGCCATAAATGTCTGAATCGTTTTAGTGGGTGTTTTTATTATTGAATATTTTACCTCAGTGTTGTTAGTGAAGCTGTTTTTAAACGATATGTAAAAGTGCAAAAAAAGGACAATGCAGTGAATTGAATTGCACATCAAACTTTGTCAACAGGCCTTTTTTTCCACTTTGTTCAGATTGTACAGACCACTCGTCTTGTGGGCCCTGACAACCCTGTGGAGATGATCTACTTTGTGGAAGGAGCTAATGGACAGAGACTTCCCGCCGCAACCACAGCCAGCATGCTCAACAGTCTTGACGTGCAGCATGCAGCGATCATCATGGGATACCGCGTCCAGGGAATATTAGCACAGCGTGAGCATTCAGACTTTTAATTCTTTCAGTTGAAAAAGATCTGTGGGAGAGAACTATATAACATAAAATCGCAGTGAACCAAGACTATAACGATAAAAAACAATGATGAAATGATCATTTAAATGATTTTGATTGATGGTAACATAACCGGCAGTGTTTTTTGTGGTAGGATTCTTTATTTCTACTGCTCTAAACATCAAAGTGGTGAGTTCAGATAGCGTGACATCTCGAGAGCTCTGCCTTTTTATGTAACATTTATATGTGGCAGGCTTACAACTGCATCACCCACAGCATAAACATTAGATTCATTAGACTAAATTTAGAAGCTTCCTGTTGTATAACATCTTAGACCTTTGAATTTTAGCTCAAATCTCCAATTACAGTGTACTAAAAAAACAGGCCAACCCAAATTATGGTTGCTGTCACTGTTGCGGTTTAGTTGATCCAACAACATACAATGTATTGAATTTTATATTTTCATTCAACATATGCTAATAATCAATCTAAATGATGTTTGAGATATTTAACTGTGCATGCTGTTTCTTTCATATTTAGACTGCCATTATATGCTTACTTAAAGTTAATCTTTAAGAACACTAATAATTTAGTAACACTGAATACTAAATATTTTTCATTAAGAAGACTGTAAGATTTTTTTTTTTTAGTTTAAATAGGGTGACTATATTTTAGTTTTCAAAAGAGAGGACAGTGAGGGAAAGATGCACCGTGGTGGTGGGGGCGGGGGGAGATTGAGGGGGGTTAAAGTAGCCCCCAAAGTAGCGCAATGACCATATCCCAAATATATAATAAAATAAAATATATACATATTTTACAGTCACGTTATGTAGATTGATCATAAACACAGCTAAAAGGCTTCTTACCAGTGGTCATCCTTCACAAAACTTAACATCTACCACAGTTTTATCATAGGTAGAATGCAAAATGTTTCAATGCAAGCATTTCAGTCAAATGTAATTTATGCAATATTTCAAACCTTTAACCCATGAGAGAAAATCAATCCGCCTGAACAGTTCAGCTCAATTCCATGCAAAAAAATGAAATTTGGCAACCCTGCATCCAACAGCTGCATTCAAAGTGATTTAATTAGCCTACTCCGCATACTGATAGCGGCTCCCTGATGCGCATAAATCATATTCAATTTTAGAATGTTTGCGGGAGCAAACATGGTCAGAAATTCAGCGGGATTAAGAAATCAGTCCCGTGGGCTTTAATCCAAAAACGCACACAATGAATGGTGACTGTAGAAAGCAAATGCCAAATCCCGGACATTTTGGGCGATTTAGAAATCCCGGCTGGACGCATTTTTTTTTTAGGTCCAAAAAGAGGACATGTCCGGGGAAAAGAGGACGTATGGTCACCCTAGTTTAAAGAAATTAATACTTTTATTTAGTAAGTATGCATTATAGTAAAGCCATTATACAATGTTGTGAGATTAAAATGTATAATGGGTTTCAAAAATTTAAAATAGCCCAACTAATATTAATAAAATGTAATATATCACAAAAAATTAGAATAGCACATCTGTTTTCAACATTGATAATATTGTGACACTGAAAACTGGAGTAATGACTGCTGAAAATTCAGCTTTGCTATCACAAGAAAAAATGCATTTTTAAAAGTTATTTTAAATTGTAATAATATTTCACAATATTACTGTTTTTACTGTACTTTTGTGCAAATAAATGTGGCCTTGATGAGCATAAGTGACTTCTTTCAAAGAAAGAACTTTTTTTTTTTTTTTTACACATTTTTGAACAGTAGTGTACATACTGTCTTTAGTCACAGATATTTATACTTCATTACCCCTGTGTATGTTCAGCTGTGGAAAAGCAGGCCTCGCCTCCCTCAGACACAGAGAAGACCAACACGTGGATAATCGTAGGGGTGGTGGTCCCCGTGGTGGTGGTCGTCATTATAATAACTATCCTGTACTGGAAACTCTGCCGCACTGACAAACTGGAATTCCAGCCAGACACCATGAGCACCGTCCAACAAAGACAGAAGGTGAGAGACTGAAAACGCTGTGTAATGATTCAAATGAAATGTATTCTGGGATCCTGAAGCTCTGTTTCTCATGAGATTTCTTCTTTCTTTCTAATGTAAGGTTCAACTGTCGGTCATGTCGTCATTTTGTTTTGTTTTGCTGATGTGTCAGTGATATTGCTAATCAGTCAGTGGGCTCCTGTGAGTCTGAGCTGCTTATCTCGTCTCTCACAGAGTGACTTAAATGACTCTGTAGCAGGATGCTAGCCAGCTTTGAAAGATCAGAATTGGATATTAGTTGGCTATCCACTACTCTACCTATTTCCACTCTCAGTTATTCTTGGCATTGGAAAGGCTGATTCATTTAGCAAATGAGTTTGTTTAGACAGTTCATTTCAATGATGCGATTCAGTCATTCGTTGAGTCAGGAGTCAAACGTTCCCAGAAGTAGCTGCGTCATTATTATAGTGAAATAAATGTTTATCTATTCTAATGTTTATCTATAACACATTTTTCCAGTATGGGTTGTGTCTAAACTTTCATGCAAATGTAAAAAACTTTAATTGTGTCTGTAGCTAAACTACATATTTTCAAAATTGACCAATGAGTCAGTTTTATGAACGACTTGTCAGTCTTAAGAAAGTGTATTAAGAGTTGAAGAGATGTGATGCAATGGCCCAAATTTTTTAACTTTTACATTTTTAAATGTTATACTTGTTAGATGACTAGCCAATATATATATATATATATATATATATATATATATATATACTGTATTGTTCTATTCTTATTTTTGTTCTATTAAATTATTCTACTCTAACTTTAATTACATTCGATTATTTATTTAAAATGATTCTAATTTTAATTAAATTATATATATTTCAAGCTCACCAAAAATGATAGTTCTGTCATCATTTACTCGCCCTCAAGTTGTTCCTAACCTGTATGAGTTTCTTTCTTCTGTTGAATGCAAAAGAAGATATTTTAAATAATCTTGGTAACCAAACAGTTGCTGGTAGCCATTGAATTCCATAGTAGGGAAAAAATACTATGCAAGTCAGTGGCTACTGGCAACTGGTTACCAACCTTCTTCAAAATATCTTTAGATTTTGTTTAAAAGGGTCATATGTTGCGCATCGTGTGTTTGTGTGTGTGTGTGTGTGTGTGTGTGCGCCTGCGCACGTGTGTGTGTGAGAGAGAGAGAGAGGGAGACAAGGTCACATCACAGTGGAGTCAGCTGTCTTAACTGTGGCTTGTGTACTGCAAACACATACCAGCTTCATCACTGTGTCTGTCACGTGACTCTGTTCCCCTTTCGGGCTTGAACTGATGGTAAAACTAGTGACATTATTTACTGTCTTTACATTTATTTTGAAAGATGAAGCTCGCGATTATGGTAAGGGGCGTTACATTTCCGACGCGTGCTTGCGGTGTTCGGCCAATCACAATACACTGGGTCAGTTGGCCAATCAGAGCAGACTGCGCTTGTCGGAAGGAGGGACTTTGTAGAAAACGAAGCGTTTGAGAGAGGCGGGGCATAGAGGACCTACAATAATGTACAGTATTTGAAAAATAATGTGTTTTTTGAACATTAAAGCATGTCAACATATTCTGTTACATCAAATACACCAAATAATGATCTTTAAAAAAGCATCATATGACCCCTTTAACAGAAGAAAGCAATTCATACAGGTTCTGAACAACTTTGGGGTGAGTAAATGATGACAGAATTTAAATTTTTGGGTGAACTATCCCTTTAAGTTCATTTCATCCTATTGAATCATCTTTAAAGCACCACTTCAGCATCACGCTGCCCTGTTCTTACAATGAAAGTCTTGCTACTGCTGTTGTCACTACTATAACCAGACTTGTCATTCACGAGCACATACACTTGTGGAGTCCCAGCAGTAATGAAGTCAACTGCTGAGCTGGCTGATGGGTTAATGCTCAGCAGTGACGTTCTTTTCCAAAGCAGCGCCCGCTGGTCCTCTCAGTCTGAACGTCTTGATTTAACTACACTCGTATGAGGAGCACATAGTCATTACACGCTTCATATGTGCACACTCACAATCCTCAAGAACTACCTCCACTCTCATCTACATTCTCAACAAGGCCCTTTCTTGGTACTTTAGCGAGGTTCTCAGGTTTAATCAGTTTACATTATTAAATGGCCTGCTTCTCTCTTTGTTCCTCATGCTCTTACTTAAATCAGTATTTCATGGTTTTGACACATAAAGCGAAAGATGCTTAAAAAATACTTATTCTCCAAATTCTATCTTCGCTTACTTACCCTCAAGTCGTTAAAAAAAACTGTTTCTTTCAAATCTTAATCAAGTCTTTCTTTTCTGAGTTTCTTCCTTCTGTGGAACAGAAAAGAACAGAATGTTTCCAAAATCCAGTATGGTTTTGCACCTTAGAGTTCTTCAAATATCTCTTGTGTTTTGCACAAGAAAGTAAGTCGTGCAGATTTATAAATGATGACAGAATTTATTTATTTGTTTATTTTTGGGCAGTGTTTTTTTTTTTTAAAGGAGCAGTAGATCGTTTTTTTTCTATGTTAAAATATTTTGGAATCAAAGTACATTAAGCTTAAATTTGTTAACATTAGTTAGACTGTAAAAATGTTCATTGTTAGGTGTGATACCTGATGCCTGGCTTAACTAATGGTAACTCTATTGTGATTTAATATTTAGTTTGTCTCAGTGATGAAATAGTAAATCATTCAAATGTTGATTTCCTGAACAGAATTCAATACAAGTTAGAATCTATCATCTATTGGCTGTTTAGGGATTGAAGTAGAAAAAAATTTAAATAGGTGTTGCAGTTGCCAAATTATATTTTTAGTCACTTTGGACTAGCATCTGCTAAATGAAATAATTGTAAATATAAATGAACTGATTGTCTTCTGTTACACTGAGTTGTTCTATGCTACTTCCATGACAATATCATTCGCATCTCTAGTTTTTCCACCTGTTTTGCTATTTGTGCTCCTGTAAACACATTGGAGCCAATTTAGAGCTTCTCTCTCTTTTTCTCTCTATCTCTATCCCTCGTTCTTTGTCTAACCCACATCCAATCACATCTTAAATCTCTCGCTCTCCCATGCTTGTTTAGTCCTCATTACAGAAATCCATACCAGTAATCCAGAGGTCAATGACTCCTGTCAAGAGCAAAGAGCGTTTAGATAGTAGTGATGAGGAAGAAGAAGAGGAAGAGGAGGAGGAGGAGGAGGAGGAGGAAGAAGAAGAAGAGGAGGAGGAGGAAGAAGAGGAGGAGGAGGAGGAGGAAGAAGAATATGATGAAGAGGAAGAGAGGAGAGAGAAGAAGGTAGAGGCTGGTAGAGGAGATGTAGTGTACTATAGACTGTAGAATAGTCTTCCAGTTAGTCCCCACACAGGAAGTACAAGATTCCTCTTCCTCTTTGACCTTCAAAGGAGTGCCGTACCAGTCACTGTAAACGTCATCTGTGTTTGGACCATTTGGTAGTTCTCTGTGGACCCTGTTGATATGAGAATGTAGTCTGAATTGCAAACAAGTGACTCTTGAGCTGGTTCTTTTAAATTAATTGACTCACATGAATTGATTCAGAAAGGCTCACAAATGAGTCAGACCAATTCATCTGTCTGAAATGATTTGCTCACTCACTGAATCAGTCGGAGGGGTTACTGAATCAGCATCTGATTTTCTCACTAAATCGCAAGTCGTCATCCTACTGAAAATAAACTAGAATGTTGTACAAATATAGTATGCTAGAATATGCAGTGCCATTCAAAAGTTTGGGGTTGGTAAAGTTTTTTAATGTTTTTGAAAAAAGTCTCTTAAGCTGCAGTTATTTGTTACAGTAAAAATACAGTAAGAACAGTAATACTGTGAAATAACAGTTTTCTATTTAAATATATTAAGTGTTGGTTAATTTATGCATTTATTTATTTTTAGAATTGTGTCCTTTTTACGCCATTATTTGCTGTTCAAAAGAACAGCATGTAACTTACATAGAATTGTAATTGTAACATTTTAAATGTCTTAGCTGAAATAAGTATTTAAAAAAAAAAAACTGACTGACTCCAAACTTTTAAACAGAATTGTTTGATGCCTCCTCAAGTATGAAAAATCACTGTATTCCTTATGATTCCCACCCCTAAATGTGTTAGTAGTACCATCAAAACTAGTGTTGTGTGAATATAGTTGATGTCAACATGTCAGTCACTTGATGGGAACACAAGCAACTTTTTATTATCACCCTCATCCAAATCAGAAACCTGTCAGAAGCATAAGGAAAAAAGAAAGTATTGAGGAAGAAGAAGAGGAGGAGGAAGAAGAGGAAGAGGAGGAGGAGGAGAAAGAAGAAAAGGCCCAAGAAAAACCCAAGAAAGCTATAAAGAAGCCATATAGTATGAGGCCGGAGGTATCTGTACAGTACAGTAGTGCTGACGTGTTTTCTAGAATGCAGCAGTTAGTCCTAGAAACAGTATTTCTATTGCTGATAATCTTCCTTTATGCCAATGATAACTAGCAATTGGGACAAAAAACATGTTATCTCAACAACAGATGCATGCATTTGAATGTGTCAATGATAACCTAACCTCTGTCTCTGGCCATTTGGTCTAAGCCGCAACAGCTTCAACTGTATTGTGGCCTAGATTTGGTTACAGCAGCAATAGAGGCAAACAGAAACGAGATAAGAGCTTGCGTTGTCACAAACAGAATTTGTCTAAACAGCTTCATTTGCATTTGAAAGGGAATGCGATGGGAAACAGAGAAATAGACGTATTCCCAGAAGTTGAGCATCTTTCAGTGAATCCATCTCTATTGTGCAGCTACACATACAGCACGACAAAAGAACCCAGCTTATGCATTTTTCATACGTTTCTGTGTTTTCTGGCAATATATGAAACATAGAATTAAATCTGATCCACTGTGACCCTCTGCACAGTTTGTTTGATCTGGAAAATTATAAAACAAACAACGGTGATTCATCAGCATTGAAGAAACCATTCACCCAAAAATGAAAATCCTGTCGTCATTTACTGACCCTCAAGTCTATATTATTTTTGTTTTCTTTTGAACACATGTCCAGGCTTTTTTCTATATAATGAACATGGATAGTGGCTTTTGTAGAGTGGCCCATATGACTTGTGTGATGAACAGAAATTATTCATTATTAATTTTCCCCTGCATTGGGATTTTGACTGCTGCGACTAGATAATTGAGTCAGAATGAATGACTGAGATTTGAATCTGAACCAACCAATTAATTGGAAAGATTCAACTCAAATCTGAATCTGAATCATTACTTCTCTCTTGAATGCTCCAAGGAAAGCAATGTCAGGATTTTGACTTGATTTTCAGTCTAGGTTCAAGCGAGTAGGAACATAGTGCTGGAGTAATATAAACCTCTTTTGCAGGTTTTTTTTTTTTATCAGTTTTTATCCAGTCTTCATTCACTTTTATTACATTGAAAAAAGTGGCTAGAATATTCTTCAAAAATTCACACAAAAGAAAGTCAGCCATACAGATTTAAAAGTACATAAAGGTGGGTAAACAATGGTTTATTTTGAATCATTTTCATTTTGGGTGGACTGTACCTTTAAATGTCTTTCTTTAAAACTTTGAAAAAAGGTCTTTGAAAAAGCTGGTGTGAATTAGCTTTCTCTGCTGTTGTGTTTGTTCGGTTCATTTAATCTTTCAGAGTGCTGCAGACAGACAGGCTATTACAGCCCTTCTAGCTGGTCTGGCCTGCGGTCAGTCTGCTGACCGCTAATCAAGTGCATCCATTTTGAATGCTCAGTCTTCTCATTGTCTCTTTGAGAGTCAATTACTGTCCTCTTGTTCAATTTATTTGTATGACACGGTGACAATCTGTGGATTATGGAAATTCATATTCTTTCTTTATGCCTTGTGTACATGCGCTTTGACATTGACGTCTCTTAAGACGGCTGGACCAAGGTCTGACCTGATTCTGTCTAGTGTTTGCGAGTAGTTTTAAATAAACATTTAGTCGTTTAACTTTCATCTCTCACTCACCTTTGCAATCCCTCCATTTCCTTCACAAACATCTTTCTGCATTAATTTTGATTCTCCAAATTAACATTTTCCTTTCTCTGGGGTGGTGGTCTTTAGCTGCAGGCGCCCAGTGTCAAGGGTTTCGACTTTGCCAAGCTGCACATGGGCCAGCATAGTAAGGATGATCTCATGGTCATCCAGGAGCCGTTGCCACTTCCTGTGACCGCCAAGGAACAGAGCCCAGCTGAGAACGCAGAGGTGCCCACACTAAAGTCCAAAGCTTCCCGCAATGGCCAGCGGCGCAGGGGCCAGTGAGTCTGATAAATGCTTTTTTTTGATATTCAGGATCAAACATTTTACACATCATTGAGTTTTTGGTAACACTTTACAATGAGGTTCCATTTGGTAACATCATTAGTTGACTACATTAGTTATATCTCTACACTGTAAAAAAAAAATCAGTGACATTTACGGTAAAATACCGGCAGCTGTGGTTGCCAGAACTTCACCGTAAAAAATATGGTGAAAAAACATATGATACTGAAATAATGCAATAAACATTCATTTAACAACATTAGATGTAAGATTAAACCCTAATGTACACAACTGATAAAAAAAACTAAGAAGAAACATGTTATTTCAACCAAAAAACATTAAATATGAAGTGTCATGCAGGGAATTCTGGGAGTGTCAGTTTACGGGTTTTTCACTGTAAATTATACAATGACTTTCTTTTTCACTTCCAAAAACCGTATTTTTAACAGTATTTTGCTGTAAATTACATTAAATGTAATTACATTTATTCACCGTATATAGTATGGAAACTTACTGTTAACCAGTTAACAGGTTTTTACTGTAGCATTTTTACAGTCTTTCACTGTTAAAATCACAATAATCTTTTACAGTGTACAGCATTTTTCATTTTTGGTTGATTTCATTCGTTTTACTAATACATTTACTACATTCCGTTAAAATGACCTAACAGTGAACAATATACATCTACAGCATTTATTAATCTTATTTGTTTTCATTTCTTTCACTAATACATAACTACATGAGTAAACAAACAAAGCATTTACATTTACCTTTCCATTTAGTCATTTAGCGGACAATTTGATCCAAAGCGACTTGCATATTATAGGACAATAGAAGCAATCAAAACCAACAAATGAGCAGTAATATATAAGTGCTGTGACAAGTCTCGGTTAGCCTAGCGCAGTACAAGCAGCAAGGGTTTTGTTTAATATAATAAATAAAAAGAAAACAAGTAGATGGAATGGAAAAAGAATAGGGAACACTAGTGTTTAATTTAAAAATAAAAATTAAACCAATCAAAAGAATAGAAAATAAATGGAGAATGCTAGTGTTAGAGGGCCGTTTTTTTATAATAAATAAAAAGAAAGCAAATGCATGTAATGCATACAATACAGTATTTATTGATCTCAATGTTAATTTAATTTATTTTACCAATGCAATTTTAAAACTATTTTATTAGTTAATATTTACTTAATGCACTAGGAACTAATGTGAACAATGAAAATTCTATTTTTATTCACTTAAACATTAACAACATTAATTAGTGCTCTAAGATTAAGTATTGCTCATTGTTAGTTCATGTTAACTAATGAATAATCTAAAAGGGGCCTTGTTGTAAATTTGACCTGTTTTGAAACCACAATCTAGTATCAAAAAATCCACCTACAATAACAAATTGGTTCCGTTTCGCATTGTGCTGCAGTAACCTCATATTAAAATAACTTGTTAATTTATATAAAGGAATGTAGCTAAGAGTGAGTCGACTGCTGATCAATAGAAAGCTTTTTAAAAGGATTGCATCTCACACTCTAATCAATAGAAGGGTCTTAGAGTTTAAATTACCACAGATCTCATGTCTTGCAAACATTACAAGTACCTGAAACCTTGTTACAAATAGACGGAAGTTATGTAATTCTTTTATATTCCTTACTGCTTAAATGGAATAATCCATATTTCTGGACTATATTAAAAATCAATAAATCGAAAATAAAATAAATGAAAAAAAATAAAACAAATACAAATAAATAAATACAAAAATTCTCATTGTTGTGTCTGTGCATTGGTAACACATACCAACTAGTCTAAGCTAAAAAAATAACCAATCAGAGATAAATAAATTCCTAGTAATTAAGATAGTAAGCCAAAAAGCTGTAGACTAAAAGGGTAGCGAATAGGTAATGGGCTCATGACCATGTCATGAACCTTTGTGTGGTCGCATTAGATCTGAAAGTGCTCTTTAGAAGCATGACAGGATTAGGTCATCGTCCTCTTGCATTTACCCTGGAGACACATGCCTCATCAAAACTGGATGAAGGGTAAATATTGTTGTCTGTCGAGATGAGGATGTCAGGGTTAGGGCGAGTTTGCTCATGTTTGTCATGAATTAGATCCAAGGACAATATAAAGTCAAAAGGAGCATAAATGTAGAAATTCATGTATATTAATTGCGTTCATTATTTTTCCACATTGTTTTGAAACGTGACAAAATGTCTTTTAAAATGTCATCAAAAGCACATTTTGTTGACCTAGATTGGATGGAATAAGGGAAAAAGCATTGTGTTTTCATAGCATGCTTTAGAATTAAAAGACTTTGTTGTGTATTTTGCTTAGGATTTCTCCATCAGAGGGCGACTCCATAGGCAGTGACCCACCCAGCGACAGAGGATCACCTGAGGAGGGCATGAGAACCTCTGGTCTGCCTACCGATCCTAAGCAACCACGTAAAATAGCTGCAAATGGATTAAACGGTAAGTTTGCACACATTTTGACTTATGTTGATGTATTGCATTTTTTTCTCATGCTATTGAATTGCAGAGAGATTGAATCTGGTCCCACGTATTTGACAGTTGCAATAGTGACTCTTGCTCTCTTTGCCTTTGTGTCTCTCTCTCTCTCTCTCTGTGTTCCTCTCTTGCCAAACAGTGCCTGTAGCGATGACCCTCTCTCAACACTTAATTTCTGCTTTACCAGACTAAATAGGCTACAGTCTGACTAGCCAAGAAATGACATGGAATTCAGTCGTAGCACCTCACATCCTCTCTCTCTCTCGCTCCCTGTCTGATGGCTGTTCCCTTTCAACGCCCTTCCCTTACGAAAATCCTTTTCATCCTCCTCTTCTCATGATTACGTTCCAGTGATACCAGTGTTTTCCAAGATAAAATACTTTCTTACCCAGCATTCCACTCAAAGAATCTGGTCCCACGTATTTGACAGTTGCAATAGTGACCTACATAACTGTGATATGATAAATCCTGATATGTACCACAGTATACATGACATCGTGAAGCTGGTAATATACCCCATGGAGGACTGGGAGTACTACAAATAATAAATCAATTGATTAGTTAATAATAATAATAATAATAATAATAATAATATAAATATCATTTGCATGAGGTAGACATTTAGAATTTTTAAGTTAAATGTCTTCTTAAAACTTAAAAAATGTCATTTGTTTAAAAATAACATGTTAATTGTAACAATAAGACAGTGTTTTTATTGTTTACTACAAAATAATTTTTGTTAATTGAAATAAAGATGAAGTAAAATTAAATATAAACATTAGATGAAAACGTTAAACAAAAATTAGTAGTGTTGCCGTGGCAACAAATTAAAATAAGTTGAAGTTGAAGTACTAACATGAAAATTATTAGAAATATTAATTAATAAATAGAAATCTTTTTTTGATTAATTAAAATGACAAATTACTAAAACAAAACTTGAAACGAAAACAAAAGGTGTAAAAATAAAGGTTGATTCAAAATATGAATAAATACTGTTATAATATATTATTAATACTGAAATTACATTGCAATAAAATAAATATGTAACTTTTATATTTAATGACTATAATGCTTTTCTTAATCCATTTCTTTTTACTTAACAAAATGTATTTGGACAGATTACATGTGGGGCCAACCAATGAAATTTTGACAATGTTAAGACACACCCCTTTCGGTTTGTTTAGTTTTTTGTTAGCCATTTATTTTAATGGTGTAGAACATATGAGATATGTTTATGAATTGTTCCTCTCTCTCTCTCGCTCCCTGTCTGATGGCTGTTCCCTTTCAACGCCCTTCCCTTACGAAAATCCTTCTCATGATTACGTTCCAGTGATACCAGTGTTTTCCAAGATAAAATACTTTCTTACCCAGCATTCCACTCAAGCATGCTTTTACATACAACTTATGCTATATTCCATCTCAATAAATCACATCAGCCATCATTTAACTTCTCTCTCTCTTTTAAACTCCCTCCATCCGCTCATCCATGTGTTACTGGCTCACAGGGAAGAATAGAATTGGTAAGAGTGGTGCTGATTTGTACAGTAGCATTAAATTTCATAGTTCTTATTTTTCTTGTTCATATTTGTCTTGAACGTCATCCTGCTGCATTTTTTTTTAAAGCAATGTATGGTCCTCCAGCTCTTTCACATTTTATTTAAAATTAGTTTTTTTTAGAATCAGTAAGACGCTGCCCCCATCTGGTGTGAAATGATATTTGAAAGAAGAGATTCAGATATTTTACATGCTTTCTTTGTTAGTTGTCAGCACATATGAGGCTGGCTTTATTTTAATGGTGTAGAACATATGAGATATGTTTATGAATTGCCCATGACAGCGTCATGTATGAATTTCATTGCATTATAAAAAAATTAAAAAAAAACCTTTAATGAATAAAGATTGATAATGATGAATAAATGGCATTTATTTTAAGGATGAATGGCACAAATACTTTTCAAACAAAGTATTTCAGGGAAAATTGTTATAATATAAAAGCAAAAAATGATTTGTAGATGCCAGTATTATTTGTCTGTGCAATGAAATTAATACAATTGATTATATTCCGATTATTGTTGGGGCCATTATACACAGTAATTTAACAAATAATACTTATAAACAGTAGAAATACAATGATAGTGTATACTGTAAGTCACTTATGCTCCCCAAGGCAGTAATATTTTAAAATATTATTAACCATTTTTAATTTTAATATACTTTAAAATGTAATTGATTTCTGTGATGGCAAAGCTGAATATTCAGCATCATTACTCCCGTCTTCAGTGTCACATGATTTTTCTGAAATCATTCTAATATGCTGATTTAGTGCTCATTTAGTTTTCAATGTTGAAAATAATTGTGCTGTTGTGGAAACCAAATACAATACAGAATTTATTTGAAATGGGAATCTTTTGTAACGTTATTAATGTCTTTACTGTGTCTTTTAATCAATGTAATGCATCCTTGCTGAATAGAAGTATTAAAGTATTTTTGAAAAATGACTGACCCCAAACTTCTGAACAGTCATTTGCACAGTCTGACACTTTCTCATATTCCTTATACTGTAGGTCCACCCCCAATGAATGGCATGGATGAGCCTTTATCTTCAGCTTCCATTTTTGAGCATGTGGACCGAATGTCCCGCCCAACGGATGGCCCTAAACGCCCCCCTAATAAAATCCAGCTCATCGCCATGCAGCCGATGCCAGCCCTGCCTTTACCCAGCCCTACAGCCAATGACAGAGCAGCAGAGAACGCCAAGCTCAACAAAGAGGTATCATTTACAACCCACACATCAAATCCCACTGCATTTCATATGGCTTCTCCTTAGGGACCCATTTAAAACTTCAAGGTCTATATGTTTATGAATTTGATTCACAGCGTCTAAAAGCTCCATCACCAATAATTCTCATTGACTCCAAGATCATTGACTGTTCTTTCTCTTCCAGATCCAGGTGGCTTTAAGGCACAAGTCTGAAATCGAGCACCATCGCAATAAGATCCGCCTGAGGGCCAAAAGGAAAGGCCATTATGACTTTCCTGCTATGGATGATCTCATCGATGGTCTAGGCGACCCCAAAGAACAGGACCAAATCTACCAGAAGGCCCAGATGCAGATTGGCAAGATACTTGATCCAGATATTCACATGCCCTCACTGTACACCGAGCCCAAGAAAAGGTAAAAAGGGCCTGCGACTGATAATTAGACTAATCCTGAACACAGAATTAGGGCCCGTTCTCACCAAATCTGAATTTTCTACACAAAATCATGCCCAAATGCAAAAATGTATCTCTATGAACATCTTAATTATCATACTGTGATGTTCTAGAACTGTTCCATGGGGGGAACAAGCTATACTTGAAAGCTATAACTTGAATATCTAAAGGCCAAATGCTCACTCAAAAGTGTTTGTGTGTGATTTGCAGCAACAGAGGGAAGCGTTCTCCTAAACAGAGAAGGAAACAACAGCTGAACGGTGATCTGACGGATGCTGACCGAGATAGACTCATAACGACAGACAGTGATGGGACATACAGGAAATACCCAGGAGTCAATAACAGTGCATATGTGGTCAGTGTCTGTTTTTCTCTCATGCTGCACTGTACCTCTGCATGTGACTGTGTAATCAACTCCATGCAGTTTATTCCCATTCTTTCCATATGTTTGTAATTCAAAACATTTTGTAATCAGCTCCATGTAGTGAAATAGCAGGTGCTAATTTCCTACATTTTTTGAGAGAATAATGTATAATATTAGTTTGATATAATTTAATTACACTACCGTTATAAAGTTTGGGCTCAGTAAGGTTTTTAAAAAGTTAATACTTTTATTCAGCAAAGATGCTTTAATTTGTTCAAAAGTGACAGTAAAGATTTATGTTAGAAAATAATTATATTTTATAACGACAGACAGTGATGGGACATACAGGAAATACCCAGGAGTCAATAACAGTGCATATGTGGTCAGTGTCTGTTTTTCTCTCATGCTGCACTGTACCTCTGCATGTGACTGTGTAATCAACTCCATGCAGTTTATTCCCATTCTTTCCATATGTTTGTAATTCAAAACATTTTGTAATCAGCTCCATGTAGTGAAATAGCAGGTGCTAATTTCCTACATTTTTTGAGAGAATAATGTATAATATTAGTTTGATATAATTTAATTACACTACCGTTATAAAGTTTGGGCTCAGTAAGGTTTTTAAAAAGTTAATACTTTTATTCAGCAAAGATGCTTTAATTTGTTCAAAAGTGACAGTAAAGATTTATGTTAGAAAATAATTATATTTTAATGCTTTTAAAATTTATATTCATCAAATAATGCTTTAAAAAAATCAGTTTCCACAGTGTTTTTCAACATTGATAATAATAAGAAATGTTTCTTCAGCATTAAATTAGCACATTAGAATGATTTCTGAAGGATCATGTGACACTGAAGACTGCTGAAAATTCAGCTTTGCCATCACAGAAGTAAATTACTTTGTAAAATATATTTAGGTAGAAACCAGTTACCTAAAATTGTAATAGTATTTCATAATCTTACTGTTAGGGTTGGGTACCGTTCACATTTTAACCGGTACGGTATCGGTACCTGAATTTCGGTGCCGGTACCCAGCGGTACCTTTTTTCGGTACTTTACTCTCTGTGTAATTACAAAATAATTTATTTCAGTGAAAAAATAAGTCCAAAAGTCTCCATTTCAACATTTTGAACAATAGGGCCCTACAAACTTTTTCTTTTTCCCCAGAAATTCTTGTTTTAATTTTTCTTAAAATCAAATGAAGGCATTAAACCTTCATTTGAACATTTATTAACATTTAACATTTATTTATAAACATTTATTTTAAATCAAATGAAAATTAAACCCTTTTATTTTTTGTCAAACAAACTGAGGTTTACTGTTGAAATTAATACATGGAAGAAAAATTGTGTGAATATTCCTTTAAAACATTTTTTAATAGGCTAATAATTGTATCTTTTTTCTACAATTAAGTGATTAATCTGGTTGTAATATTTATTTTTATCATTTAATTGTTTTATTTAAATTTGATAGAAAATTGAATATTTAAAGATGTTCATTATACTGTACAAAAGTAATACAAGAGTAATATATATCTGTTACATATTAAACTGTACTTTTATTTTGACAGGTTGCCATGAAGTTTCTGTGTGTATACAGTATGATGATGCTAGTTTTCTCAAATGAAACGTAAAATTCTCACGAAGTGACTCTCACAGCAGCTCTGGAGATTAAGTTTTTGTGTTCATGCCATCATATAGTGAGACCCAGAGACCGGAAATCACCGCGAGAGCATCACGCATGCTTCAGTATTTGTGTAGTAAACAAAACCGCGTTTCCGCCATTCATACATACAGAGGCAAGCGGAACATGCAGGATTCATATTTAAACCGTCTTTTTGCATTTTAATATTCACAAACACTAGTTTATATCGCGATTCGAATTAAGTGGCAGTGGCTACTTTTGATTTATTCGTCCAAAAATTTACGAATTCCGTGGCATTCCACGCTATAGAGTAAATTACGTTTGTATGAATGGACTCCGCAATCCCGTCCGCGTTTTCTAGGAATGTAACCACACTTCAGAAAATTTCATCTTGCCCTGTGTGTTGTTTGAACGAGTTGCAGGGGTGACCTCACTTCACAGGGTCTCTCTTTCTCTCTCTGTAGCGTATGCGCCCAGATGCGTTCTCGGGTACCGAAATTTGGCACCGATTGATTTAACGTGAATCGGTACTCGGTAGTACCGATGCAATTCGGTCGGTACCCTTAAAAGTACTGAGTTCGGTACCCAACCCTACTTACTGTTTTTTACTCTATTTTTGAACAAGTGATTTACTTGTTCAGCCTTATTGAGCATAAATATCTATTTTTATTTTGCAGTCGGACCCAGACCAGGGTCCCGAGCATCATAGTCCGTCCCCGACGAATGATGTGTTCCATGGTCCGATTTCTCCTCCTCCTGGCCACCCTCCTCCACCACCCCCATACCTGCCCCCTCAGCCGTCTATAGAGGAGGCCCGGCAGCAAATGCACTCTCTACTGGACGATGCCTTTGCCCTCGTGTCTCCTTCGTCTCAGGGCAGCACAGCTGGCATCACTCTGCCTGGTGTCGGGCTTAACCCTGGACCCCCACCTGCCTCCAGCCCACCATCCCGTGGACCGCGGCCCTGGGGCCCAGGATACCTGCCCTTGAATCCTTACACAGGGGTAAGAAAAATCTGCTATGCTTGGGTATAGAGATTTGAACAAATTGTTAATGCTAAGCCTTTGGCTCATAAATCGTTCTATACAATTGTGAATGGTGCCTCAAATTGTGCGGTTTGTTAAGGAGAGATGCTATTATTACTTTTCTAAGCGAATAGATGTATGATTTTCCAGAACACATCCTGTCTGGAAAAACCACTAGATGATCCACATTCATGTGATTAAAAAGCACATGATGAAATCTGATGTATTACTGTTTTCTTTATACAGTCCAGCACTTAAATGATTTCCCCTTGTCTAAACCTGGGGTTAAACTAGACGTCACGCTCCATTCACTTCCATTCAGACCGGAAACACATGCATATGTGAAGAAGCTTTGTCTTCCATTGCATACCAAAATTTGGTGTGAACTCTAAGCTGCAAATTTGCTTTTGTTTCTGAATTAAAAATAAAATTAATGCATTTGAAATACAAAACATTTCTGCTCTAGAGGAGATCTGCATGGAGGAATGGTCCAAATTACCAGCAACAGTGTGTGAAAACCTTGTGAAGACTTACAGAAAACGTTTGACCTCTGTCATTGCCAACAAAGGGTATATAACAAAGTATTGAGATGAAATTTTGTTATTGACCAAATACTTATTTTCCACCATAATTTGCAAATAAATTCTTTAAAAATCCTACAATGTGATTTTCTGGATTTTTTTTTTCTCATTTTGTCTCTCATAGTTGAGGTATACTTATGATGAAAATTACAGGCCTCTCTCATCTTTTTAAGTGGGAGAACTTGCACAATTGGTGGCTGACTAAATACTTTTTTTTCCCCACTGTATTGACAAAATCGCCTTTAAAGTTGTCCAAATGAAGTTCTTAGCAATGCATATTACTAATCCAAAATTTATTTTTAATATATTTACAGTAGGAAATTTACTAAATATCGTCATGGACCATGATCTTTACTTAATATCGCATAAAAGAAAAATCAATAATTTTGACCAATACAATGTATTTTTGGCTATTGCTACAAATATACCCCAGCGACTTAAGACTGGTTTTGTGCTCCAGGGTCACATTTAAGTATGTATAAAGCATGTCTAAATCCATTTTTTCTTGCAGATGCAGTGACTAAGTGTACTTGTGATTTCTGGTTATGGGGGTTTGATTCAATCAGCTAATTTGTTGATTTTATTTTGAATATGTTTCGATGTGTGTTAAACCGTACTGGAGTGATTTAAAGCAAACTGGATGCGCTGGAATCACATCAGAAGAACACAGAGTTGGGGTTTTCCACGGATTGAGAATAAACTACCCAGAATGGAAGCTTCATCTGTCAACACTGTGTCCTGAATGATGTATTTCTGTCAGATTGAGGCTTTTTCATGGAAAGGAAAGAGGGGATTGCAAAGGCCAAAATATGAACTGTAATAACTCAAAGGTTGATTTAAGAGTCAAGATGGAGCAGGGAATGGTGTGCTGTCCTTAAGATGGCATTTCCAGCTCAGCTATTTAAAAGCTCTTCTGTTTTCTGGGTCACAGGGTTTATTTAGGCTGATAGATAGAGAAGCTTCGGTTGTGGTGGCACATACAGCTGCTAATGTGTTTCAGACTTAGCAGTGTATTAAAATAAGCCTTTTATGCATTGAAGTGCAGTGGATGTGCAAGAATTATCAACATGTTTAAAGCTCAATGACAGCATGTTTGTGTGTATTCTTTCAGAGATATGCTGAATTAGGTCTGCCACCTTCCAGTGTGCAAGGTTTACTCCATCGGTGAGTACAGTAAGTCTGATCAGGAAGGTTTGTGTGATCTTTGGGAACTGCGAATGACGCTGCCAATCACATTACAGCCTTCACTTGTAGTGTTTACAGCTTTAATGGATGTAATGTGAGAAATCAAGTCAGTTTTTATTAGAGTACAGTGTGGTTTGCTAATAGCTGGGGTCTGATGTCTTTGTATCTCTACAGACAGGGTTTAGGGTCCGGCTACATCCCATCAGGAGAGGCCCTTCCTGTTGAACAGCTACAGTCGGAGTCGCTTTACGCTGGTCGAAGGGGAAACACAGATGAATTGCCCTCCTCTGCCAGGCCACGGCCTGTAGGTGGGACTACAGGTAAGAGCTTAAAGGCTTCAAATGTGTGAGTTTCGTTATATGTCGCAATGTAAAGTATACTATACACAATATGTTGCAATATCAAGTATACTTTATGCAACATACATGTCGGTTCACAGGTGCCCAGCTACATCATTTAACCCATGCTGGTCTGACAGGTCGTGTAGGTGACAGCCGGCAGCCTGGTGGGTTAAACTGGAGCCCGTATCATGAGGACGACAGCAAGCTCGCTAACAACAGAGAGCCTGTAAGTCTGAAATACTCTCCTACTTAGATTTTAAGGGAACAAATAATTTTTTGAAATGGTGTTTAGACTCCTATATTGTGAACATGAAGCTCCATCCTCAGTCCATATAGAATATTTCTTGAAGTTAAGCAAAATTTGAACATTTAAAATGTGAAAAAGTATCAACATAACAATCATGAGAACATTCTGATGGTCATAATCAGTTTTACCACTTATTACACAGCTACTTACCAAATAGATATATAGAAATGTAATAGTGATTTGATTTAATTAGCCATATACTGTTTCGGTACCAGGGATTCTCACATTTTTTTTGATCTAAAATATTTACTTGAAGTACCTCCTCAGATTTTAAGTTAAGATTTCAATATTCACATGTTAATTGTTCTCTGATGTTGGTTAATATTCTTACATGATCTGCATGTAAACAGTATGTTAACTTTTTAGTAAGTGATTTTTCTTTATTATTAATTTTAATTTGACTTTTTTTTTATTAATTAATTATCAGCTTCCAATCAATTCACGAACCCCCAGTTTGGGAAACCCTTCTATATGTATACTGTATACTATCTATAAAATATAAATGTCCATCACAACATCCACATAGAAACAAAATAATTTAATAAAAAAATACTGCAATTTTAATTAACATTACATTAATTATGATTATAAATCGTGGCTTTTATCTGTTATTAGACTGAAAATAAAGTTAAACATCTCTTTAAAAAAATGATGAATGTAACATAAAACTATAACAATCAAAGAATTATAAAACACAAAGCTGAAAAATATATCATGCATGGCCTTTTTGGTAAAAGAAATCTTGACAAACATCATAAACAGGCTTTGGGGAAGAAATAAGGTGCTACATAAAAAGTGTACAAAATATCCTACTTCCATAGCTATTCTCACTCTTTTCATTTTCTAACTTTACTTTAAGAGTCTTTTAAACTCTTTAAACTTCCTTCATTTTTTGTTTAGGTTCTTGGCTCTCTTGACTACACCTCCATCTCTGTATTCCAGACCTCCAGGAATGGCCTGAAGGAGCCATCTGCTGCTCCTGCCCACCTGGACACTCTCGACCTGGGCTACGCTCCCTCTGCTCCCCTGGAGGAGCCTTCCCCTCCCAACCACTCTTCCGCCTCGCTCATCAAAGCCATCCGAGAGGAACTGATGCGCCTCTCCCAGAAACAGGCAGCGGTACCCAGCTATCACAGCTGAGACCTGCCCCCTCCAGCTCCATCAGGCAAAAACTACACTACACTGCACTGTACTTCCCATGGAAGTGGCTTTTTTGAGAGGACGATGACTGTACATCATGTAGCCTCTGCTGCCGCCTGGTGGATTATTCTTTATTCCCATGTTCCTGTTCGGTTTTCCCTCGTTGTTCAAAACATAATCAGCGTCCTGAGACTGAAGAACAATGTTTTTTATCTTCTTTACAGGCGACTTTATAATTTGGTAGCAACTGCTCTATACAGACCGGGATAACAAAGCTCAAATATGGCTGCCACACATTCCTGTGGTCTTCTGTTAGAGGTGTGCGTGTGTTTTTCACATTGTGTTGTTTTTTTGCTGTGTACACTGCCTTCACATTTGAACAATTGTATACCTGGCACTGGCTCTTGTAGATTCTCATCACTGAACGCTGAACTGCTTTTGATACCTTAAATTAATCTCAATGATCTACAAAAAGTTTTTGTTTTGTTTTTATGTTTTATTTCTCAGTGCATCTTCTTCCCATTCACTCATGGTTCTGATACTTTTATCTCCGTTTAATAGCCATCAAGCATTTGCCTTCATAATACAGTATTGAGCTCTACACAGTATTGTCTTATAGTTTAAGGTCCAGTCGTAGTATTTGAAGTAGTTCATCTTCTTATGCCTTTATTTGGTTTGGAATCTACAGGAGAGCTGGACGTACTGTACAGCTGCTATGTCCAGTGCATTGGAGGAAACTGTGTTAACATTAAAGAAATGTTCTAGGTTCAGTACAACTTGACATATTGTAAACCAATAAAAATGTGTTTTCAGTAATGTACTTACAATACAATAATGGACTGGTGGTGAATGAAGGATTCCAAGTTGCCCGCAAGTTGATTGGCTGATTTAAACGTAAAAAAAAAATTTAATGAATAAATAAAAAAGGTAAAGAAATTGTAATTAAATAACAAAATTATTAGAATTTATAATATATAAAATGTCATGAATTCACATTAATTTGGATAAATTAAATTCAGAACTTTAAAAGTTTGAGGTTGGCAGGATTTTTAAAAAAAAATGTTTTTAATGTTTTCAAAAGAAGGCTCTTAAGCTCACTAAGGCTGCATTTATTTAATCAAAAATACAGACGAGAGTATTATTACAGAAAAATACAGACAAGAGTATTATTATCAAATATTATTAGACTACAATTTACAACTATTAGACTAACTGTTGTGCTGCGTAATATTTTTGTGGAATTTTTTCAAGATTCTTTGTTGGATAGAAAGTTCAAAACAGCATTTTTTTTACATTATAAATGTCTTTACCTTCACTTTTACTAGTGAAGACATAAATACATAATGCATACTTGCTGAATAAAAAGTATAAAGTTGTTTTTAAAAAATGACTGACCACAAACTTTTGTATATTTCAATGTACAGTGTGTGTGTGTGTGTATATATATATATATATATATAATTTTTTTTTTTAATACACTACTCATAACTGTTGGTAATTGATTGGAGGTAGTTTGTGGTCTGCCATAGATGAAGGTTTTTAGGTCATCTGTACATTTAGTTTTACTGAGGAAGTTTTAGAATTTCTGCAGTATAGAGTTCCACTTCAGTAGAAGCAAAAAGTGCAAATTTTTGTCTTTTAAATCCATCAGGAATGCCTTGCCCCATTGTAAGTGCATTACTGTGAACATGTTTTTGGACGAGTCAGAATCATTGTCTGTGGTAATCAACAGTATGTGACAGATGCTGGAGAGCATTTGCATATAGAGCTTAACTCATTTTGATCCCAGAACATTCCTTAAACTGTCCCAATTGTTTATTTTTTGTCCATCTGTTTCTCAAAAACAGAGATTGGGATAATTCAGTTCTGAATAAGTCAGTACTTTCAGTATTACCACGGTGTAAATAGTATTGCTGTTTGAATTATTTAAACTCAAACTATTGATTAACATCAGGCTTTCTGCCCAACTGCATTTTCATCATTTCATAGCAGAAAGTGTTTTTTTTTTATTATTATAATAATTATTATTCCAGGATGCACTATCGCTCATTAAACTGCTGTTTATTAAAAGGGGCTTTCTGCCCAACTGCATTTTCATCATTTCATAGCAGAAAGTGTTTTTTTTTTTATTATTATAATAATTATTATTCCAGGATGCACTATTGCTCATTAAACTGCTGTTTATTAAAAGGGTGCAGTATATTCCTCTGTCTTCATGCTTTTGATGTGTTAGAAAAGCATCAATCTGTAGAATTAGACTCTGCTATTTGTACTTTATTTCATGCTGAAATTGTGTTTTTGCCTTTTGTGCTAAAACTATTTTTGTGTTCATGTTGCAAACAGGAGCATCATTTGCTCTAAGAAAAAGGACACTTCTGTTGAGGACACTTCACTTGATCTGCCCTTGTTCATTTGTAGGAATGAGTTTTTTTATTTTTATTTTGTTAAGTTTGTCTCATTGGAACTACCTTGACTTGTAGTTAAAAATCTGCTGACTCTTTATTTAAGTGACGATTAAAAATGATTACCATATGGTTGACTGTTGTTTGCTTTATCAAACTTTACTAACTTTTACAAACCTGATTGGTGTTCATGTTTAAATCAAATTACTTCATCAGAATTGAAACACATATAATTGCTGTTCACTGAGATCTTATTAGGCTCAATTCAGATTTCAATTTCATATATATACAGGTGCATCTCAACAAATTTGAATATCGTGAGAAAGTTCATTTTTTTCTAACTTAATTTCTAAAGTGAAACTTTGATATATTCTAGATTCATTACATGTAATGTAAAACAGTTCAAACGTTTTTTTTTTTTGTAATTTTGATGATTAGAGTTTACAGCTCATGAAAGTCAAAAATCCAGTATCTCAAACTATTAGAATATTTACATTTGAGTTTCATTAAATCCGGATATCTCTTAAATTTTCCCCTAAAAGTTAGTCACCTACTTTATTTTACATTTACAGGATAACACCCATAGATGGCGCCAAATGCTTGTTAGTTTATACCCATTGAATTCTATTGTATGGAGAGAGGGGGAAATCAATTTCTTACAATATCTTTTATGTTTGACAGAAAAAAAATACAGTTTTGGAATGGCATGAAGATGAAATGATGACAGTTTACATTTGTGGGATGACTATCCCTTTTAATTTAAATTTACCAACTTTTTCCTCATTTGTTTTCTTCATATGCTTATGAAATAATATATGTTATGAAATACTATTGCATATACTAAATGCATATTTTTATTCAGCTTATTTACTTTTGTGTGTGTTTTTTTTTAGATAAATTGTGCATATGCAACATTATAAACTGCAGTATTTAGAATTTCAAATTGTGTCTTTTTTCCATGCACTAATAATAACTAACCATTAAACAACTGGATCGTATCATCAGACGAACCAAAATAACTCCAGGCTTGTTGTTTTCTTTAATTATGCAGGTCTAAATAACCAGGCTTTCATTGAAAAATTCCACCCATCTGCACAGCCTGTCCTTTAAAATACACATAAAAGCATTGTTATTAAGTCATAGTAACTTCACATGACGATTCAGACGCTCCGACTCCCTGAGCTCATGTTTCTCTGGTGCACATATGGTACCTCGGCTCCTCGTGGAGTGGAAACTGCAGTCCTGTTTACATTCTCGAACAAAAGGGCTCATCAATGTTTCAGCGGCTCTGCATTGTTCAATTTGTCCACCTTGTGTTATGTGGCGACCTATAGTGCTAATATTTGCCTTGTCAAATGTGGACATATTTTCAGACCAGTCTATATTTACTTCCAAAGGGGTAACTAATAGACGGTGGCTCCGGCGACTGTAAATGCTTGTCAGTACATTCAGCAGTAGGCCTACACTATTTAAAAGATGATATACATAATTATGAAGTTACATATAGAGATGCATGTAAATCTTACTTAATTGGGTCTGTCTGCAGTTAAGGGTTCAAAAACATTACCTTTAGTTCACACTTAAGTATATTCTAATAATGTGTATTATTTCCATAGTCTAGCTAGCAGATTAGCTTAAATTCATTAGTTTTATAAGCTCAGAAGGGCTCTCAGAAGAAGACGATGCCCAGGACAGAAGCCCTGTTCTGGACACAAAACGGCCACATATTCCCCGTCCATCTATCATCAGGCCACAGAAGGTAAGAACTCTATTAGTAGGATTTGCACTCAACTTTTAGCTTGTTTAGCATGGAAGCCCATTTCTGCCATGGTATAATTGCAACTTTTTATCTCAAATTTGAACTTTTTTCTAACAGTTTTGAGTTTATATGTCATAATTTGGACTTTGTTTCTCACAAGTCAGAATTGCAAGATATGAACTCAAAATTCCGACTTTCTATAAACTCAGAATTAAAAAAAAAAAGAAGTAGTAAATTCTGAGTTTTTATTTTGCACTTGATGACTTTTTTTCTCTCAATTGCAAGAAAAAGTCAAAATTCTGAGATAAAAAGTAACAATTACCTTTGAATTTTTCATTCTGTGGTGGAAACTGGCTTCCATAGTTTGGCTTAACTGGTTTCTGCAACTCTTAAAGCTCCTTCTGAGATTCTAGTACGGTCAGACTGATGTTCATTGACTGAAATCGTTTCATTAAAAATTCCATGAAATCACCAGATGATCACATATGTATTTTCTGTTGAAGTTTGGTTGGTAAATAATTTTCTTCTTAAAAGTTACATTCAAAATGGCAAACCTAATGCCAGATAATATGCTTATATGGCAGAAATTTTAAGAGTAGTATGCAATTCTGATGAGTTACGTCGCTGCAATGGACCATGTCTAGCTACTTTGTCAGTTAAATATACTATTGGGGGAGGGGCATTCTGCATTCAGCATTTGATTGGACTAAAATCTCTGTAGTGCAAGATGATGTCATCAATATTTTGGTTCTTTACCTAAGAAGAGCTAAAGCTTTAGTTGTGTCCCAACTGACGTACTGAATTTGTATAATATGCACTATGCACTACTGTCTAGAGTAGGGCTGTCCAAACCCGGCCCTGGAGGGCCGGTGTCCTGCAGAGTTTAGCTCCAACCCTAATTAAACACACCTGAACCAGCTAATCAAGCTCTTACTAGGCATACCCCTTGTCCAAATACCCACACTTGCGGTCTTGGCCACTTGAGAGCACGTGCGCGCGACAGGAAGTAAGTGCGCAAGACTGTCCCAGGTCTTAAAAACGCCAGAGGGCAGTGCCCTTAAAGCACACTAAATCCACACTATCTCGAATACCGCTCCGGAGCGCTATTCAAGGCTTAGTGTATCCCATGATGCATCATGTTCTGGAAATAAATCGTGAGACTTTTTGCCAAGATCTTGCGAGAGGTCATGGAAACTTTTCCAATGCAAGTTCAATATTAATATAATAATTAGCTATTACATATAATTTGGTAGAAAAACACTGTTTTTACGTTTTATTGGTGCAAAGATGAGTAGTGGTGATATTTATTTTGTACAACATTTGCAACTGCTTTTTATCACTTAATTAGAAGCACCACAAATTAAAATGGTCATGTTATAGGGACTATAACTACTACTGAACAGACATTTAGAATTACAGACAAAATTAAAATTAAAATAAAGCTATGTAAACACTTGCATTTTTACAACCCTGCAAGTGTGTCCTATCAGGTAATGAAAAGTTCGACACACACTTGTGGTCTTCATGCTCACTTGAACACTTGGGCCAAAAACAGGAAATACGTCATATAAGTAGTCAAGTGGTCAAGTGCAAAGACCGCAAGTGTGGGTATTTGGACAAGGCTATAGAAACTTCCAGTCAGATGTGTTGAGGCAAGTTGGAGCTAAACTCTGCAGGACACTGGCCCTCCAGGACCGAGTTTGAACAGCCCTGGTCTAG